CAAGATCTACCTTCTCTTGATGAGATTTGCGAGGTTCAAAAGATTGAGCCATGAATTCAAAGGCTTCAAGAAGGGTTTGAGAGTTTTGCATCACTTGCTAATGATTTGCCATTCTAGCATTTACATTCTTAATATCGTCTTGAAAATAGTCTTCTTTATTTTGTGGGGACAAATATTGATGATTATTTACGGCTGATGGTGCCTTCAATCTTTATTCCATGGTTCTCTATGCCTACCATGATTCTCCTATTCTAAGCAGGCATATAGAACATTGTCGTATGACTAAAAAGCTGCGCAAGTTTTTCTATTGGCCAAAGATGCGATGTGATGTTATCTAGTATGTGCATAGTTGTGTTTAGTGCTAAGCTCGTAATACTCCCCTTCATGCTATAGAAAGATAGTTGAAGTCAATTGTAGTTTCCCGCTTGTTCAAGTTGGTGGCATTTGATCTTATGGGATCTTTTCCATGATTGACTGTTGGCAATGAATATATTATTATTGCTTTTAATTACTTAACTCATTGGGTGGAAGTTGGTGCTCTTGTTAGCACCTTTGCAATTGCTGTTAAATATTTCCTCCTCAATCAAGTGGTGTTCGAACATTTTTGTCCGGAGCGGATTCTTTCGAATAATGGTCCTGCATTTATGGCTGAGGCATTTCATATTTTGACGTCATGGTTGGGGATATGCCACACTTTCATGAATGCTTATCATTCACAGTCAAACAGTTTGATGGAACGACTCATTTGGACATTCAAAGGGATAATCGTGAAGTATGTGAACTTTAAGCATTTAGATTGAGATGGTTATTTATTGTCTCTTTGGTATGCATATGTCACAAAGGTGTAAAGTTTTGTTGGTGTTTCACCATATAAACTTCTATATAGTCATGATCCAATATTACCAATAGAGTTAGGTTTGCCTTCACAATTGCCACAAGCTACCAATGTTAGGTTATGGGATCAGTATTTGATGAGCATTTTTCCACTTGTCAGAACAAAATTTACTAAATACTTAGGCCATGTACAAGTGAGATAACAACAACACTACAACTCCCATCATCGTTCACTTACAGAGTATAAAGTGGATGACTTAGTGTTAATCCATTTTCCCTATCTTATGGTATGGTTTATCTAAGGGGTTCCTTGTTCAATGGAAAAGACCATATCAAGTGTTGCAACAAGTTGAACCATAAGTTTATGAGGTTTGGCATGACATCCAGTAGGACAATCCTCTAGAAATTGTGTATGTGCAACAATTAAAACACTTTGTACAAAGGGATTAGAAACAATTAATACCATCTAAAGATCTATCAATGCCTCTTCCTAATGTCTCATTTGATCCCAACCCATTTATAAGAGAACCCTAATAATCTTCCATTATTCCAAAAGGAGGGGATGATGTGAAGTTCAAATATACGACTACGATACCATATATTAATATTAGCACAATGGGATTTTGATAGCCGTCGGATTGATTTCAATCCGGACCATTTGCTCCTATATATAAGCTAGGTTTTTGGGTTAATTGATATGCACAGTTTCATATTCAAAGTAGTCACAATTCTAAATTTTCAATATATATAATATTTTATTTTCAATGTATAATAACTCTCTTAAATATTATTCTAAAATTAGAATATAATATAGTTGTTATGACATGTACCACTTGAATCTCATAAAGGAAAAGAGCATAACCTCAATCTCACTCAAACATCATAAGAGTTTAAACACTAGAATCTAGCATCTAATCCTCATGAGGAACACTACACCCTCACTTCTCCCTTTCAAGGTGATTTGCCTCATACTAAGTCCTGGATCATATCACTGTGATCCATGGAGCTAGAAACATAACTAAAGAACTTCCACCCTCTCCTCAATCCATCTATCTCCAAAAATTCTAGTGCCAAAATCTAGCTCCCTTTGAAGAATGTCCTAATGCCTCCTGGATCAGTCCCCAAGGCTCTCTACCTCTTAGAATCTCCCTACCAAAATCCCTTGATCAAACCTTAATCACTGAACACACAATGCCACCTCTACTCCGCCAGTGCCTCCAACCTTTTAAGTTGTGCATAGCCTTTAATCCACTTGTGACTTGCTTGTGCCTCTGATTGGAAGTCTTCTCTTGGAAGTCTCCCTCTAAGTCTCCCCTGTTCCCTCTGAAGGTGCTCTACCTCACACTGAGGCCCTCTGGATCACACTGATCCACACCTATTAGAACAAGAGCACGGTTCTCTGGAAAGATCTCCATCTGGGCCATATTTGCCCTTCCAGTAGTGCCTTTGCTCTCTGCCACCTCGTGGTGTCCATTGGAAGTCTCCCTCTTATATTCCTTTTGAGTATCTAGGTCTCCCTCTCATCCTCAAATTGCTCTCTCAAGGTGACCTGCCTTGTATTGAGGCCCTGGATCATGCCACTATGATCCATACAAATTGCATTTCATCTAGGCCACGTTTGCCCTAAAATGAGCCGGCTCTTCTCCTCCCCCTTCAATACATGTATGGGATGGATAGCAAATTGACCAACAACACTATTACTCTCAGGTGAACATAGAATTTTTACTGAAACTGCTCCTCCTCTGGATCCTCCATCCAGTGCCTTTCAAAGCACCATCATGTGTCGCCTCAGCAGCGGCTCTTCCCAGCGCCTCTAGACAGCACGTCCAGCACTGTCCTCTACTGGCAGCATCTAGAGCACAACTTGTACTTCACACCATACACAGCACACAGCTTGCTCCCTGGCATCGCCTCCTCTAGCAACACTTCTCTGTCTCAGCACCCAGTGCCTCTGCCCTGATCTGGGCTCTAGTGCAACACCAAGAACTCCCCTTACAACCATGATCTTGTGGCTCACCTTCTTGTCAGCCAACAAGCGCCATCCACTTCTGATTAAGGTGGCTCATCCTCCTCCTCACCAGTGAGAGCCATCGTCCCAGTATCTGATACCATGAAAAGAAACAATGGACGGGCAAAAGGTTATATTTGATAAACCAAGAATCATGACTCAAAAACCCTCCGGTAACCTGGCAAGACATGTGCCACCTGGATCTCACTAACCTCAATACTATCAACTTCATTGGTGAGAGCTTTCATGCACATCGGGAATTAGGCTCGAGGTGTGTTTGAGACAATGGTGACGAGGGACTTGGTTTCGTGGACAAAAATAGTGTCGGGCTATGCCTTGTAGAAGAGGCCGAGAGGATGTTTTCCCGGATGGCCCAGTAGAATCTCGTGTCTTGGAATGGGCTGATGGAAAACGGCAAGAGCGAAGCTGCTGTTTGATCGAATGCCACAGTTGCCTACATCAATCGCTGCCGCCTATGCCCAGCACGGGCATGTCGATGGCGATCCACCACCAAATGCCCACAAGGGACTTGATATGCTTGTCGCAATGCTCGGCCAGGCCGGGAGAATGGAGGACGCCCTCAAGATCCAGCAGCAAATGCCGAGATGGAATGTTTTGCGATCCTCTCCGGCTATGCGGGAGATATCCACTCTCGTGGGCATTGCGGCGAGCACAGCTCGAGCCTCGATCACGCGGCCATTGCGAGCGTAAGCGTGAACCAAACTCGTCCAGCAGCAATTCACGATCTCTTCCGGGATGCTGTCAAACGATCGCATCTTGCGGCCTGGAACTTGATGATGGAAGCATATGCCCAAACTGAGCAAGCCATCCAACTCTTCCACGAGGCCACGCCCGACGGTGGAGTGAGGATCGATCTTGTGTCGTTCATCACCATCCTCTCGGCTTGCAGCCATTTGGGGAAGATCCAAATCGCCCGCGATCAATGGTCGCCTATGATCGCGAGAACCAAAACTTTGGGTTAGAGAGCAATGTCGGGGGCGAATGACTGCTGCGATCGCAGGGCTAGTGGAGCGACATTTCCTGGCGGATCTCGTGAGGGCTGCTGGCCGTGGCAAGGATATTTTCTTCGCCAATCTCCTCATCCAGTTGTATGGGCGCTGCGGCAGCGCTGCAGATGCGCCATCTCTCTTGATCGCCGAAATACTCCTGGGAACACCTTTAATGCCGCCGAGCTCTTCGATCGCATCCCGGCTCTTCGATCGAATGTGCCATCGCAAAGTGCCAGGGAGGGGAATATTGCGCGATCCAAGAGCCTCTTTGATCGAATGCCCCACTGGAATCTCGTGTTCTGCAAAGTGGTCGTGAGGTCCTATATCCGGAGCTCCAATCTCGACCAGGAAAAGAATATCTTCGATTCCATGGCGGATCATGACGTAGCATCTTGGAACTTGCTCATTACACTGTATGCCCAGTTCGGGCAACTTGAGCTTGCCAAGACACTTTTGACGGGATGGAGTTTCGTGATCTAACCCGCCGGGACTGCCCGGCGGTGATCGATCGTGTCCCAGAGCTCCAGGCCGTGATATGGAACTCAATGATCACAGTGCTCGCGCAGGGGCAAATCGGAGGCAGCAAACGAATCTACTGCTGTGCTACCCGCAGAATGATTCCTGGAAGAATTGGACAGGGCGTTCCATCGGCTCCGAGAGATCTTTGACTCCATGCCGGATAAGGACGTGGTGGCGTGGACGGCGATTGTGAAAGCTTAACTTACCAAGGCTTTGTCGCCCTCGCGAAGAAAATCTTCGTTCAAATCCTGGAAAAGAATCCAGTCTATGCTCCTCGCGTATGCCGAGAGTGGGCACTTTGGCGGGGTTCTTCCACGCAAGACCATCGTCTGCTGGACAGCTCTCCCGCAAGTTTTTGAGCGATCTCGGCGCCGCCAGGAGCATGATTGAGAGCATGAAGATGCGCAGCTTCGTTTCCTAGATGACCTTGGTGTGGGCTTATGCTCGAAACGGGGAAGTCTTCCATACGTTCCGGAACGTTCGAACTTCGTGCAGCCATGTCGGTCTCGTGGCCGAGGGCTGGGACCACTTCGTCTGCTTGGTGCCAAGGAGAGAGCGCTATTGCTGCATGAAGAACTCTGAGCACCGTCGTCAACTCGATGCCATTCCTTCCAGACATCGTGATCTGGATGTCGCTGCTGGGAGCTTGTCACCTGATCCACCGCGAAGCAGGTTGAGCTGAGCGAGTCGCGGCAAAGATCTTCGAGGCTACACGACTGCATACGTGGTTCTCTGGAACATGTACTCGTCGATCTGGAGGAGGGACAAGGTGTCGATGATCCGGAACCTGATGAAGTCGAGGCGAGTGAGAAAACTTCCGGGGATCAGCAACATCGAAGTTTGGCAGCGAAGTTCACAGTTTCGTGGTGGGGGATCTTTCGCATCCTCACAGCGAAGATATCGTCGCGGATCTCCAGAGGCTGGCGAGAGAAATGCGGCACGCTGGCTACGTTCCCGACACGAAGGAGATCTTTCATGAGGAGCAAAAGGAGGAGCTGTTGCACTACCACGGCGAAAAGATGGCTGTGGCTTTTGGATTGATCTCGGCGCTGAGGAACTTGCGGGTGTGTGGGGATTGCCACTCGGCTATCAAGTCTGTATCCAAGATGGTGGTATCTATAACCGTGAGAGATGCTAACCGGTTCCATCACATGCAGAAACAACAAAAAGAATGATCAGAAAAAAGGAGAAGCGAAAGCCTCACCTTTAGAGCTTCAGCTCCCTTCCTTCTGGTATAACAAAACTCAAAGGAATGGAAGTAAAAATGGCAGGAACACTTCCTGTGCAGCTCAAGCTCCCGGCTCTTGAGCTGCTCCAAGACGTAGCTACTAGATCGAAAACGGCCAAGATCTCCACAAATAAAGCTAGATTGGAAAAAGGATATATACATCATTTCAGAGGCGATGTGTCCAGTCAGCTCAATCTGCGCGCGAGCTGCTTGCCGACCATTACAAAAAGTTCGCGCTTGGTTTTATCTTTAAATATCACTAAAAGATTTGTGGTTGCTATTGCGTTTCTAGCTATATGGATTCGAGAACGAAAACAGCCTTCACTGTCTCCGAGATCTTTTCTGAAAAGCTATTTGTTCTAAGATGAAAGAAAACCAAACACTAGTATATTTAAATTATAGCCCTTTAAAGAGGATGTTTCTCACCTAAATACCACTGTGGTTTCTATTCATTCGAACTGGGAAGTTTGGGCTAAATTATTCTGCGCAACTTCCTTGCTTCACTCCGTATCTATATACTTTGCTATCACTGGGCTATGTGGCTGGAGGTAAGCTAGATTTAGTTATGGATAATTGCTTAACAATTTGTTTCAGTTGTCTATGCTAGTTAGCTTTGCTATTGGAGGAGCTCACATATGTTTTACATTCATTGCTTTACAAGTAGCACATGCTTATGCAGGGACATCATCAAATTATGAGGTGGTGGATAGGGATACAGGAATGCACTGAAGACGAATCTATACCATATGTTTCATATCAGGTATATTTACTTTTTACCCTTGATTCTATAGTTAATAATGAAAGAGTATATAATTCCATATTTGATATATAAAAATGTTCTGTAGTAATTTTTTAATTCAGCAGCTTTGGTTAAAAACCAAGTGTTAGTAACATATGTTGTATCCATAATCTCGCTCATTGATTCCTTAGACATTGCACTGAGGATGAGTATTGGACCAGAGGATATGCCAAGCAGGGCATATGCTAAAAGGAATTTATTCATTGAAGCCTTTGTAAATTTCTAATTCCTAGCTGTAATCCCAGCATTTGCCAAGATGAGGCAAATGGGTATAACTAAGGCTTTTTACGACACTGAGCCCGAGAAAGATCTCGTGCTGTCGGAGCTTTCGTGCAAATCGGGAATTTGGTGGAGGTTTGAGACGATGGCGACGAGGAACTTGGCTATGCCTTGTAGAAGAGGTCAAGAGGATGTTTTTCCGGATTCCGGACTCTCGTGTCCTGGAATGGGCTGACAGAGCGTGCCGCAGAAACATCGTTGCCGCCGCCTATGTCCAGGGGGATCCACCAGCAAATGCCCGCAAGGGACTTGATATGCTCGTCGCGATGCTCGGCCAGGCTGGGAGAATGGAGGACGCGCTCATGATCCAGCACAAAATGCCGAGATGGAACGTTTTCACCGGGAACGCGATCCTCTCGGGCTACGCCATCCAATGTCGTTTGACAGCATCCCGGGCGAGATAGTGAATTGCCAGTGCTGGACGAGTTTGATGCACGCTTACGCTCGCAATGGCCGTGTGATCGAGGCTCGAGCTGTTCTTGCCGCAATGCGCACGAGAGATCTTGCTGCCTGGAACTTGATGATGGAAACATATGCCCAAAAAGCGCATTACAGGGAAGCCATCCACGACCACGCTCGATGGCGGAGTGAGGATCGATCTCGTCTCGTTCATCACCGTCCTCTCGGCTTGCAAGATCCTAATCGCCCGCGATCAGTTCGTGTCTATGGTCGCCTATGATCGCTGACTATGGCATCGTTCCAATGGGATCACTACTCTCGCGAGATCGGAAGGCTTTGCGACGCCGAGAGTTTCCTCGAGACGATGTCTTTCGTGCCTGCCTGCCCTCTCCCATCGGCGGATTGGTGGAATACAAGAGATGGATCGCCGAAATCCCTCCAATGCCGCCGAGCTCTTCGATCATTCCGGCTCTTCGATCGAATGCCCCATCGCGACGCTTTGCCAGGGAGCAATCCAAGAGCCTCCTATGCCACAGTGGAATCTCGTGTCCTGCAACGAGGTGGTGCAATCCTACATCCGGAGCTCCAATCTCGGCCAAGCGAAGAAGATCCATGCCGGATCACCGTGGTCTCTTGGAATTACACTGTATGCTCAGTCCGGGCATCTTGCGCTTGCCAAGAACACGTTTGATGGGATGGCGTTCCGCGATCTTGTCTCGTATATGTGGCAGCCTCCCGGATCCGCGACTGCCAGGCTATGTTCGATCGCGTCTCAGAGTGACACGGAACTCGATGATCACGGAGCTCGCGCACCAGGGAGAATGCCGGCCAAGGATCTCGTGTCATGGACGAATCTACTGCTGTGCTACGCCCAGAATGGATTCCTGGAAGACTCAGACAGGGCTCGCCAACGCAGTGGGATTTGGCCACCTTATTTGTGTTTTAAACTACAATAATATCAGGCTCACTGGAAGAAGTGGCAAGGATTTTCCCCATGCCCCCTCGCACTCTGACAGTACTACAAATCCTTTACAAACTTTCGCATCAACCACATAATATTACACAAAAGAAGCCATATTTCTTTCTTAATCGGAAACATTTGCTACTCTCCCACTGCCTCTTTTTTTCATCAGAACCCGTGCTACCATTTCCCCCATTAACACCACAACAACAATAGAGTCCATGACGCACACCATCCTGTTTCCCCACCTCCAGTTTGGATATAGACGTTTACAGACATAAATTATAGGTATGCAACATGGCTCACATAAAGAAAGTATAGGATATCCACCAATCACCTCATATATGTGGTAATGATCTTGCCCTTGGCGGTCACCAAATCCATGATTTGGAAAAAGCCATCTTTTCGAGCCAAGAAAACGGGGTGTTTCTATGAACCATCTCATTATGGCTGATGTTCCTGCACAAGAATGTGCTATTGCAGACAAAACTTGCCAAACGATAAACCAGGAGCGATTTGAGACATATGTGCTTGCTAATGCACTCGCTGCTCCAATAAAAATACTAACCAGCATACAGCACCTGGAGTGAAAGAGAGTAACGATTCCAATAATAGCTGTAAAAACATCTTAGAAATAATATTTTATGAGACTGTCTTACCTCCAATAATATAGCCCACTGATAAAAATGTATATATGTGGTGAGTGAAGCAAACAAGCTGCCAATATCGAATCGCAGAGTACTTTGGCCCAATTGTTACATAAGCCAAGTAATCCGACGTAAAACCCCAATGGTAGCCAACGTTTAGTGCATTGCAGTCTCTTCGACAATAGAGAACACCACTTGGGCAGTGCCACTTTGGAGGATAAAAAGTGATGTAAATGGTGAAAACATAGAAAGTAATGGCCCAAGTCATAATTATTGAAACAGGTAAGAAGAACCACCACAATGGAACGCTCTTACTAGTAATTTCCATACCCAACCTTTCAAGCCCTAATAGATCCTATGG